AGTGTCCTTTCATTGGAAGCAATAAATGAATAAATAGGATATTTATGCAAGAGGGTTACCCTCTCTATATTTTTGGTAATTTTCTGTAGATAGATGCAAAAGTGAGAGGAGGGCTATTGAATGGGGTAATCTTTGCTCCAGGAATGGAAATATTCAATTTAGTGAAAAACTAGCTAAACAAAATATGGAAAACGGAGCATTGCAGATACCTAGAGGCTATATCAAAATATTGGAAATAACAGAGACGGGAAATTCTTATTTAAACTCAAAATATTCCAGACAAACTGGAATTATATTCCGGACCACTGTAGCCAAAATTTTACAACGAAAAATTTAAAAACTAAATTCAAATAGACTAGAGTTGTCCATTTAACTATGGCATAAAAGAAGGACTGAAAAAGGTTTTACAGACTGATTTAAAGATGAGCTGAAGGTCGGCTTTTTAAATGGGTTGAATGTCGGTTTTATCGATCGATTTATTTGCGGACAGTAGATTGGATTTACTGACGGACTGAAGGGCAGTTTTACACATGGACTGAAGGTCGGTTCTATAGACGAGCTGATGGTCGGATTTTTATAGACGAGCTGAAGCTTGGATTTTTATTGACGGGCTTAAGGTCGTCTCTCTATAGACGGGCTTAAGCTCGTCTCTCTATAGACGGGCTTAAGGTCGTCTTCTATAGACGGGCTTAAGGTCGTCTTCTATAGACGGGCTTAAGGTCGTCTTCTATAGACGGGCTTAAGGTCGTCTTCTATAGACGGGCTTAAAGTCGTCTTCTATAGACGAACGGGCTGAAGGTCGTCTCTATAGACGGACGGGCTGAAGGTCGTCTCTATAGACGGACGGGCTGAAGGTCGTCTTCTATAGACGGACGGGCTGAAGGTCGTCTCTATAGACGGACGGGCTGAAGGTCGTCTTCTATAGACGGACGGGCTGAAGGTCGTCTTCTATAGACGGACAGGCTGAAGGTCGTCTTCTATAGACGGACAGGCTGAAGGTCGTCTTCTATAGACGGACGGGCTGAAGGTCGTCTTCTATAGACGGACGGGCTGAAGGTCGTCTTCTATAGACGGACGGGCTGAAGGTCGTCTTCTATAGACGAACGTGCTGAAGGTCGGCTCTATAGACGGACGGGCTGAAGGTCGGCTCTATAGACGGACGGGCTGAAGGTCGGCTCTATAGACGGTCGTCTCTCAGGGAGTCTTTACAGACGAGCTGGAGACAGGGATTCTTTATAGACGAGCTGGAGGCGGGGAGTCCCTTTATAGACGAGCTGGAGGCTGGGAGTCTCTTTATCGTCGAGCTGGAGGCAGGGAGTCTCCTTATAGACGAGCTGGAGGCAGGAAGTCTCCTTATAGACGAGCTGGAGGCGGGGAGTCTCCTTATAGACAAGCTGGTGGCAGGGAGTCTCCTTATAGACGAGCTGGAGGCAGGGAGTCTCCTTATAGACAAGCTGGTGGCAGGGAGTCTCCTTATAGACGAGCTGGAGGCAGGGAGTCTCCTTATAGACGAGCTGGAGGCAGGGAGTCTCTTTATAGACGAGCTGGAGGCAGGGAGTCTCTTTATAGACGAGCTGGAGACAGGGAGTCTTTATAGACGAGCTGGAGACAGGGAGTTTTTATAGACGAGCTGTGGAGGCAGGGAGTCTTTATAGACGAGCTGTGGAGGCAGGGAGTCTTTATAGACGAGCTTTGGAGGCAGGCAGTCTTTATAGATGAGCTGTGGAGGCAGGGAGTCTTTATAGATGAGCTGTGGAGGCACGGAGTCTTTATAGATGAGCTGTGGAGGCAGGGAGTCTTTATAGATGAGCTGTGGAGGCAGGCAGTCTTTATAGATGAGCTGTGGAGGCAGGGAGTCTTTAAAGATGAGCTGTGGAGGCATTGAGTCTTTATAGATGAGCTGTGGAGGCAGGGAGTCTTTATAGATGAGCTGTGGAGGCAGGGAGTCTTTATAGATGAGCTGTGGAGGCAGGGAGTCTTTATAGATGAGCTGTGGAGGCAGGGAGTCTATATAGATGAGCTGTGGAGGCAGGGAGTCTTTATAGATGAGCTGTGGAGACAGGGAGTCTTTATAGATGAGCTGTGGAGGCAGGGAGTCTATATAGATGAGCTGTGGAGGCAGGGGGTCTATATAGATGAGCTGTGGAGGCAGGGAGTCTTTATAGATGAGCTGTGGAGGCAGGGAGTCTTTATAGATGAGCTGTGGAGGCAGATAGTCTTTATGGACGATCTGGAGACAGAGAGTCTCTATAGACAAGCTGTGGAGGCAGGGAGTCTTTATAGACAAGCTGTGGAGTTAGGGAATCTTTATAGGCGAGCTGTGGAGGCAGGGAGTCTTTGAAGACGAGCTGTGGAGGCAGGTAGTCTTTATAGACGAGCTGTGGAGGCAGGGAGTCTTAATAGACGAGCTGTGGAGGCAGGGAGTCTTTATTGACGAGTTGTGGAGGCAGGAGGTCTTTGTTGACGAGCTGTGGAGGCAGGGAGTCTTTATAGACGAGCTGTGGAGGCAGGGAGTCTTTATTGACGAGTTGTGGAGGCAGGAGGTCTTTATAGACGAGCTGAAGAGGCAGGGAGTTTTTATAGACGAGCTGTGGAGGCAGGGAGTCTTTATAGACGAGCTGTGGAGGCAGGGAGTCTTTATAGACGAGCTGTGGAGGCAGGGAGTCTTTATAGACGAGCTGTGGAGGCAGGGAGTCTTTATAGACGAGCTGTAGAGGTAGGGAGTCTTTATAGACGAGCTGAAGAGGCAGGGAGTTTTTTATAGACGAGCTGTAGAAGCAGGGAGTTTTTATAGACGAGCTGTAGAAGCAGGGAGTTTTTATAGACGAGCTGTAGAAGCAGGGAGTCTTTATGACGAGATGTATAGGCAGGCAGTCTTTATAGACGAGCAGTGGAGGCAGGGAGTCTTTATAGGCGAGCTGTGGACGCAGGGAGTCTTTATAGACGAGCTGTGGAGGCAGGGAGTCTTTATAGACGAGCTGGAGACAGGGAGTCTTTATAGACGAGCTGGAGACAGATAGTCTTTATGGACGATCTGGAGACAGAGAGTCTTTATAGACAAGCTGTGGAGGCAGGGAGTCTTTATAGACAAGCTGTGGAGTTAGGGAATCTTTATAGGCGAGCTGTGGAGGCAGGGAGTCTTTATAGGCGAGCTGTGGACGCAGGGAGTCTTTATAGACGAGCTGTGGAGGCAGGGAGTCTTTATAGACGAGCTGTGGAGGCAGGGAGTCTTTATAGACGAGCTGTGGAGGCAGGGAGTCTTTATAGACGAGCTGAAGAGGCAGGGAGTTTTTATAGACGAGCTGTGGAGGCAGGGAGTCTTTATAGATGAGCTGTGGAGGCAGGGAGTCTTTATAGACGAGCTGTAGAGGTATGGAGTCTTTATAGACGAGCTGTGGAGGCAGGGAGTCTTTATAGACGAGCTGTGGAGGCAGGGAGTCTTTATAGACGAGCTGTGGAGGCAGGGAGTCTTTATAGACGAGCTGTAGAGGTAGGGAGTCTTTATAGACGAGCTGAAGAGGCAGGGAGTTTTTTATAGACGAGCTGTAGAAGCAGGGAGTTTTTATAGACGAGCTGTAGAAGCAGGGAGTTTTTATAGACGAGCTGTAGAAGCAGGGAGTCTTTATGACGAGATGTAGAGGCAGGCAGTCTTTATAGACGAGCAGTGGAGGCAGGGAGTCTTTATAGGCGAGCTGTGGACGCAGGGAGTCTTTATAGACGAGCTGTGGAGGCAGGGAGTCTTTATAGACGAGCTGTGGAGGCAGGGAGTCTATATAGATGAGCTGTGGAGGCAGGGAGTCTTTATAGATGAGCTGTGGAGGCAGGTAGTCTTTATAGATGAGCTGTGGAGGAAGGGAGTCTTTATAGATGAGCTGTGGAGGCAGGCAGTCTTTATAGATGAGCTGTGGAGGCAGGGAGTCTATATAGATGAGCTGTGGAGGCAGGGAGTCTTTATAGATGAACTGTGGAGGCAGGAAGTCTTTATAGATGAGCTGTGGAGGCAGGGAGTCTTTATAGATCAGCTGGATGGGGGGGGGGGGGGGTTGTTTTTGTAGAAGAGCTGATGGACGACTGCTTTATAGACTATCTGGGGGCAGGGAGACTTTATAGACGAGCCGGGGACAGGAAGTCTTTATAGACGAGCTAGAGAGATGGAGTCTCTTTATAGACTAGCTGAAGCGAGGGAGTCTCTTTATAGACGAGCTGAAGCAAGGGAGTCTCTTTATAGACGAGCTGAAGCAAGGGAGTCTCTTTATAGACGAGCTGAAGCAAGGGAGTCTCTTTATAGACGAGCTGAAGCAAGGGAGTCTCTTTATAGACGAGCTGAAGCAAGGGAGTCTCTTTATAGGCGAGCTGAAGCAAGGGAGTCTCTTTATAGGCGAGCTGAAGCGAGGGAGTCTCTTTATAGGCGAGCTGAAGCGAGGGAGCATCTTTTTAGACGAGCTGAAGCGAGGGAGTCTCTTTATAGACGAGCTGAAGCGAGGGAGCCTTTTTTTTTTAGACGAGCTGAAGCGAGGGAGCCTCTTTTTAGACGAGCTGGAGATAGGGAATATTTATAAACGAGTGGAGATGAGCCGAAATAAGTTTTTAGACGAGTGAACTGGAGAGGGTGTCTATAAAAGAGTGAGTTGGAGTGAGTGAATCTTTATCAACGACCAGGATGGAGAGCTGGAGAGAGCTTTATAGGCTAGGGGAGGAGAGTCTCTGTATAAGTGCTGAAGGGAGTATTCTTTTCCAAGATGCATAAACCGCAAACCACTTAGATATTTTTGCCTTCTTCAATTTAACAAAATTGAATACATTTATTTAACTTCCCACCTCCTGATATTTTTCAGCTTCTCCTTAATATATTTAAATTAAATGTCAGCTAAACTCTATTTCCTTGGACCATGCAATTATTCAAAACATAAACACTTTATAAAAATATATAAAAGTTTCTAATCACGATTTTCCTCTTATTTGCATCTCTTCCACTCTCTCACTACACCCACGCCAAACAGACAGCAGTGCTGGAAGTTGTTATTCCGCCCGACATTATCAACGAAGAAACATCAGGTGATATGATGGTCCCCGAAGGTGGTTCAGCTAAATTAGTGTGTCGTGCTAGGGGCCATCCCAAGCCAAGGATAACGTGGCGTCGCGAGGATGGCAGAGAAATTATAGCTCGCAATGGTGCCCATCAAAAGACAAAAGGTAAGCGAAACAATATTTTCGCTAATGAAGTAAACACCCGAGTGCTGGCTAAAAACTCTTGGCACTTGCGAAGAATGTCAGAATTAATGAAAGCATATGTGTGTGAGCGTGAGCGGCCAAAAAGTGCATGTACAAATTACATTTACATCAAAAACTCATAAATTAAGTTGTAAAACGTTTTAGCCAATGCTCATAAGAAAATGTCAGTAATTTTTGTGAACTTTTTTTTCTTTTTTCTATTTTCCGCTTCTTTTTCCAAAATATTTAGCTTTAGCCGTGGAAGGTGAAATGTTAACATTGTCAAAGGTCACGCGATCCGAAATGGGTGCATACATGTGCATAGCATCCAATGGTGTTCCGCCATCGGTTAGCAAACGTATGAAGCTACAGGTGCATTGTGAGTATAAATGAAAAATTTATATAGAACTATTTCCCATTACATAAACTTTAAAATAAATGGGTTACACTTATTGGGGAAATGACTTGCGGAAAATTAGGGCAATAAACGAAAAAAAAACGCAATTAATTTAAACAAATTTTCGGGAAACGTAAATATTAATTATGACAAAAGGGTTTCTGTTGAAAGAGTCAATTGATTTTCTCATAGAAAGGCCGCACCGATTTTCAATAGAAAGTCTTATCGGTCTTCTAAAAGAAGAACGCAATAGCTTTCATAAAAAGAGTTCGTACTTTTAATTATAAAAGAGTGTGTAGATATTCTAATAACAAGTGACTTTTAACTAAAGGATTAACAGATCCTCTAATGAACGATACTCATGGATCTTTTAACAGCAGGACTCATAAGTCATGTAAAGCACGAGGTCATAGGTCCTCTTCCAACGAAAGAGCTCATCGATTTTCCAATAAACGGGCTCAAAGGTCTTCTAAGGGAAAAGCTGATTGTACTTCTAATAAAGGAGCTCATAGAGGAGCTCATAGAAACTGACCTTCGATAGAGGATATTAATTTAAAGTAGTATAGAAGGAAGCCTATTAATATGGCCTGAAGGGTGTGATAAGAGCGACTTCGAGGACGTCTTAAAAGAAGATCAGATAGAGGTCCATAAGTCTACCTGAGCGTAGACTTTATATACGTCCTGAACATAGTATTAGCCAGGTAAAGGCTATATATGGGGACGAGCTGAAGGGAAATTTTTTTTTATAGATGACCTGAAAAATGACTCCGCAGATGAATTGAATGGAGTCTCTACAAACGCTCTAATGGGAGTCTCGATAGATCAGATGTCGATAGACGAGTTGAAGGAAGTATCCATTGGGAGTCTGGTTAGATGAAATTAAGAGAATGTCTATACACGAGCTGAAGGAAGTCTCCATAGGCGAGCTGAATGAAATCTCTATAGGCGAGCTGAAGAGAGTCTTCGTAGATGAGATGTATGGAGTCTCCTTAAAGGAGGTGAAGGTAGTCTCCATAGAGAAGATGGTGGGAGTCTCCACAGAGGAGATGAAGGGAGTCTCCATAGAGGAGATGAAGGCAATCTCCAAAGAGGAGAAAAAGGCAATCTCCAAAGAGGAGAAAAAGGCAATCTCCATAGAGGAGATAAAGACAATCTCCATAGAGGAGATGAAGGGAGTCTTCGTAATGGGAGATGAAGGGAGTCTCCATATGGGAGATGAAGGGAGTCTCCATATGGGAGATGAAGGGAGTCTCCATATGGGAGATGAAGGGAGTCTCCATATGGGAGATGAAGGGAGTCTCCATAGAGGAGATGAAGGGAATCTCCATAGAGGAGATGAAGGGAATCTCCACAGAGGAGATGAAGGGAAGCTCCATAATGGAGATGAAGGGAGTCTTCATAGAGGAGATGAAGAGAGTCTTCATAGAGGAGATGAAGAGAGTCCTCATAGAGGAGTTGAAAGGATTCTCCATAGACGAGATGAAGGGAGTCTCCATATGGGAGATGAAGGGAATCTCCATAGGCCATAGAGGAGTCAACGAGAGTCTTCGTAGACGAGATATATGGAGTCTCCATAGAGGAGATGAAAGAAGTCTCCGTAGACGATATGAATGGGAGTCTCCATAGACGATAGGAAAAGAATCTCCAGGCTCTCGCTGAGAGTAGTCCTGATCGATAATATGAAGGGAGCGTCTATACGTGAGATGTGGGGAGTCTCCACAGATGAGCCGAAGGAAGTCTGCCTAGATTAAGGAGAGACTACCTTAACATAGGGAGTGTCTATAAACATGATGAAGGATATTTTCATAGATCAGCTGGGGGAAATTTTCGCGACGACATGTCTCCATAGAAGCGCTGAATGAAGCATAGATCGAGCTGACACTGGTCTCCATAGATGATTAAAATGTAGTCTTCACAGACGATATGTGGAAAGTGTAGTTGAGATGAAACGAGTTTTCAGGCTCTCGCTGAGAACTGTCGTAATCGATAATTTGAAGAGAGTGTTTAATGGCCGAGATGAAAGAAGTCTCCATAGATGAGTCGAAGGGAGTCTCCGTAAAGTATATAAAGGGAGTCTTGTCTATAGACATGAATAAGGAAATCTACATAGGCAAGCTGGCTGTCTATCTTCATATACGACTTGACAAAAGTCTACATAGCCCGGCTGAATGAAGTATTTATAGACGAGCTGGAAGTCTTCATAAACGAGCTAATGGAGGTCTCCATAGACGGCAGTGTGTCTTTACAGACGATGAGGGGGGTAGGGATTCTTTACAAGGTCAGGGAAGGGATTCTCCATAGCCGAGCTGGAATTAGCCGAAAAAGCGAATAGAATTAAATTTAAAAAAGTAGCTAAAGCACATCCTTAAAATGGGCAGAAGGGAATCCTTAAATGCTACGAAAAGTGAGTTTTTGAAAGGAAACCTCCTTGAAAGCAGTCTCTATAATCTTCAGTATTGCATTGTAATATTTTAAATTAAAAATGTATCAAGAGTAGCAAATATCGAACTGCTTCTTATTATTTGTAGGGACGTCATTATAAAGGAGCTGGAGAGAGGAGATAGTATTTGTAAAGATGCAGGAGGGAGGGGGTCTTTATTAACCTGTACTGGGGTGTAAGTGTTTATAGACAAGCTGGAGGAAAGGAAGTAATTTTAGATATTAATTTTTGTAATTTAGGTGTAGAAGAAGCCTCTATTTTCGACCTGTGGGAATTTTCTGTAGACGAGCTGAAAGGAGGTAGCCGGAGAATAATATAGAATGATGAAAATCACATTCTTAAAATTGACAAGAAGAGCCTCTCTAAAGACCACTACAAGGTGTCCTTCCAGACAACCGGAAGATAGTCTTTTAAGGCAACAGGAGAAACACTGTTTGAGAATTAATGGTGTTTAACAGGGGATTTCTAAAGGCGGACAAAAAAGAAAAAATCTTTCAGACAAAGAAAAAAAAATATTTAAGAAAATATAGAGTCATCATGGCGACTAAAATATTGTCTTAAAAGCCTAATTATGAAAAAAAATTATATGAACAAGTTTGCTTGGAAAAAACTGTTAATTAAAATCATTATTTATTGTCTTCACAAATTATTCCAAAATCATAGCTCTCTCCGTCCTTTCCTTATCAATTTATGTGGATTAGATTCCCAACAGCCTAAGTTATTTCTTTTAAAGTAATTTCCGGTAGATTATCAATAATTTCCTTTAACTAATGATTTCCACCGTTATTACACACGTGAATCTGAAAGGACATTCCACACTTACCTGCAGCTCTACATTGGGACAGAAAAATAAAATTTCGCAGAAGAAAAACAAGAACAGAACCCAAACACAAAGAGACGGAAGCAATCCAACGTCAGCCAATAAACAGTTAGATTTATATTAGTTTCCGTCTCAGCAGGTTTTGACTTTTATGAGTCAAAACATATCCAGGCATCTAGACACGCATACCACATAAAGAATTCAAACAATTTCATGGCAGAGAAACAAAAACAAAAAAAAAGAGAAAAGAGAGAAAAACGCCACGCAACACAAGGACACGTCATGGCAGGAGGTGACCACAACGAAAACACAGCAGTGGCAGCAGCAACAACAATGGTAATAATGCCAATGCAAACTGGAATCAATTGACAGCGGGACAGAACCACAGAATTGAAGGAAGGTGCAACACAGCAACAGAAGTTTCCGCCAGTTGCAAGTTTGCACTTTCTTTGATGGGTTTCAGTGTTCATTCGTTTGCCGTCGTCTTCGACTTCTTCTTGTTCTGATACTTTTCTTCCTTCCTTTCTTCTTTCCTGCCTTCCGTCCTTCCCTCCTTCCTACTCGGTTCACACTTTATTAAAGTGTCGATGGAAATTGCAAAAATTTCCGGTTTGTAAGTCTTGCAGCGTTCTTCTGCTCCAGCCGAACTCCACCAGAGTTGTGCCATGGCCTCTCTTCTTCGTCTGCACTCACAGAAGCATAAACTATTTGGCAGCACATTAAGTTTTTAGCACCGGTAAAGTGCATGATTGTGCAGGCATGAAAGTGCTAATACGTGCGAGACACACTTAACCAAGTTGTGAGATGACTTTAGTTTTCGTTTCGCCCCGACGGGCCAACATTTTTTTAAAGCAATGAAAACTAATTTAAATGTTATGCGTAGAAAATTTCAAAGGGAATGGATAAGTAGAGACAGAGGGGGGAGAAGAGGGGAAGGGTGGGAGGTAGGGAGTTTTTCGTCGAGAAGCAGAGGAGTAGAATTTTAGACCAGGTATAAGGACTTTTGTAAGCACCTAAAGGGAGTCTTTGTAGACAAGCTGGAGGGAGTCTTTGTAGACGAGCTGGATAATGTCACTGTAAAAGAGGAAGTCAGGGCTGACGAGCTGAAGGACGACGGCTTTATAGGTGAGCTGAAGGATGACTGCCTTGTAGATGAGCAGAAGGTTAATAGACGAGCTGAAGATCGGTCGGCTTAAAACACGAGCTGCAGATCGGTCGGCTTTGTAGACGAGCTGAAAACCGGTTTTATAGACGAGCCGAAGGCTGGCTTTACCGAACATCTGGAGGCCGGCTTTATAGATGAGCTGAAGGACGGCTCTCTATAGACAAGCTGAAGGTCGGACCAGCTGAATTTCGGGTCGGCTCTATAGACGAGCTGAAGGTCGGGTCGGCTCTATAGACGAGGTGAAGGTCGGGTCGGCTCTATAGACGAGATGAAGGTCGGGTCGGCTCTATAGACGAGCTGAAGGTCGGGTCGGCTCTATAGACGAGCTGAAGGTCGGGTCGGCTCTATAGACGAGCTGAAGGTCGGGTCGGCCCTATAGACGAGCTGAAGGTCGGGTCGGCTCTATAGACGAGCTGAAGGTCGGGTCGGCTCTATAGACGAGCTGAAGGTCGGGTCGGCTCTAGAGACGAGTTGAAGGTCGGGTCGGCTCTAGAGACGAGGTGAAGGTCGGGTCTGCTCTAGAGACGAGGTGAAGGTCGGGTCGGCTCTATAGACGA